GGTTCAACTTCTATATTTCAAGGCCCGGAGGGAATTAAAATAAGCGAGAAAGAACTACATTGTATTAAAGTAAATGTACATAGAAATTTGTCTGTGGAAATGCCATCGAACGAATTAAATCGTGACATTATTAAACCAGAGGAGGTTGTCATAATAAGAAGAAGTGGTAAATTATTATATATATGTGTATATACATTTATTTTAATTGTTAGATTATTCTTTCAATCTACGTCAACTGAAGATGTTTATAATCCATTAATATACGACTGTGAAGATAGCAGAAGATAATAATATTCTGTTTACTTTAATCAAAATATCTCTTTATATATATATATATCTTCATTCGTAATTAATTAATTACTATTTATCCATTCAGAATAAAGTTTACTTCAAATACAAAGTTGGATCGTGATTTGTATGCAATGCGTTAGGTTAAGCACAATTTTATAAATATTTTTATCGCTGTAACTAATATTTCACTTTTGCTTGCTATTCTTCTTTTTTTTTTCTAACATTATTTTCTAGTTTCTCGTTATTTGAGTGCTGCGTATAAGTGTTATTATTATTCTTGACCAATTTGAAAAATAATTAAGTTTTCATAGATGTTTATATTTGAAAAAAATTTTTTATTTGTAACAAACAAAATTTTTAAATTTGCAGGTAATAAATATTTAAACAAAGAATAGAGATATTGTATATATTTTTGTTTTGATTTTATACTAAATAGTTTTTTTGATTATATATTACAATTGAAAATTTCTATGCATGAATAATAATTTTTAATAGAATGATTATGTGGTGGTACAATATCAGCGAGAAGATCATTTGTGCATGACAAAATATTTTCTCAAGAGAATATTAAGACTCGGATAATTTTTTTCATTCATAAATCTCGTTTTAGATCCAGAGATAGTAGGTATTCATCCTATTGCGTCAGGGTTGCGTCAGAGTTGCGTCAGGGTCCCCCCCGTGGGTAGGGGGTAGTAGAATACTCCCTCAGTATTCCCTGCTTGTCGTAAAAGGCGACTAAAAGGGAGGGTATGAATGATGTGTGCATGGTCTGTGTGGCTATTTCTCTCTGTGATTCTTGCTATCCCCTCTTTTCTCTTTTTTTCTTCGCCTTTTACTTCCTTCTTTTCTTTTCCTTTCTCACTGGGCTTGTGCCTAAATTTATAAAAAAAATTATGGAAGGTACAAACACAGTAATTAACCAGTGTGGGAGGGAGACCCACACAACGGCGGTGCTTGGTGGTGGTAGGACAGGCCACCCATCGTCGTCATCATGCTACTGTCAGGAGTCTGTGGTAGGCAACCCGGCCCAGACTCTGGTTACTGCCTCGGGAAGTTGTTCGCAGGTAGGTGACCTGGCCCGCGAACTGACTAAGGCACCAGGAAAAGAGGCACTGATGGAGGGATGGCAGAAAGAAGCTATGACTTTGGAGGAGTTGCGGCTCTCAGATCCTGACTCGCTGATTAGGACCAGGGGGAGCAAGAGGATGAGGCGTATCATCACGTCGTCGGAGGAGGACGACTGTCTCATCGTCGAACCGGATGCACCGAGTAGGAATGGCGAAAGAACATTCAGCCGCTACTAACGCTGGAAGCAGGAAGGCTCCCGGACAGGCTTAGGTTACACCTAAGGGAGATGGAGATAGAGAGAGCGCGATGCTCCAGTATTAAAGGAGAGGTATCGGGCAAGATGAAGCGCCTCATCAAGGATGCGCTCATCACTGCCGATGAAATTGAGAAGCGACTGGACAAGCAGTCTTGCTCCCCGTTCTCAAGAGCTGAAGCTATCATTCAGCTGAGGACGGAAGCAAAATTGGGGGATGAGAAGATCCGTCAAATGGAGGAAGAAATCGCTAGGCTCAAAAAGGAGCTCAAAAAGCGTGAGGTTGTAAAACAGAGCCAGGGAGTAAAGACGGTGGCTGCCCCAAGCCAGGGGAAACAGGTGCTGCCTGCAGGAGGTAAAGCCACCCCAGCTCTGGAGAAGAGGCTGGAAGATGCAAGGGCCGGCGACAATGAAGGGAGCGTGATGGCCATGCTGAGGGAGGTCAACAGGAGTATTGAGGCTCTACAGCGAGATCAGGCGGAGCTGTGGAACGCCTTCAACGGCACCAGCAGGCCACCCCAGCGAGGGACAGACGTGGTCGGGAAGACCGTGGAGGGAGGAAAAAGGAGTGCTCCCGCTCCAGGGACTTCGAGGGCTCCCGCCCCAAGGATACCTGCCGCAAGTGCTGCCGCCCCCCCACAGGATGGGTTCATCGAGGTAGTGGGGAGGAAGAAAAGCCGCCAGCAGACGGAGCCAGCTGTTAGGCAGGAGAAGGCCACCACCCCGGGGGAACGCGCGAGAAAGGTGGGAGAACAGAATAAGGGAGAGAGAAGTGCCACAGGAAGTGGCACAAAAAATAAGAAAAAGAAGAAGAAGAAGAGCCGCAGCGGTGGAACCAGAGAGACTGCAGCGGTCTCACCAGTATGCAATGAGGCGGTGTCGTACCGTGATCCTCTCGCCAAGGCCAGGGAGAGCATTAGCCTCAAGGAGATTGGTTTGGACACGATGACAATGAGGAGGGGTCTCACGGGAGAGTTGCTCTCTACCTGGGCCAATCGGTTGAACTTGCACCTCTTCAACCGGATTGATCGTCCCACGTGCGTTCGGCCGCAAGGGTCAAGCGTTATCGACCTCACGTGGGGCTCGTCAGCTGCTAGTATCCGCTTATCGGAATGGAGGGAAGATGAGGCAGAGTCCCTTTCGGACCATGCGTATGTTATGTTCAAGTATTGCCACGAGACTGCAGGGGCCCGAAGCTTGAGCCTGCCTGTCAAGACTTTCCCCCGGTGGGATGCGAGGGCTGCGGACGAGGACATGCTCGCCGCTGCCCTCATATCGGGCGACTGGACTCGTCCTAGAGGTGTGTGCAGTGCGCGAGTGTACGTGAAGTGGCTACACGAGGTGCTAGTGAGCGCGTGCGATATGGCACTGCCGAGAGTGAGGAATACGAGAGACAAGAGAAGTAAGGCGTGCTGGTGGTCGCAGGAACTGTCTGCTCTTAGGGCGGCAGCGACTGCGGCTAGGAGGCGCTTCCTGAAAGCCAGACGCAGCGGGGACCAAAGGAGAATAGAGCTGTGTCTGGAGGCCCGTAGAGAGACCAAGAGACTGCTAAAGAGGGCCATTAAGAGAGCCAAAGCCATGGCCTGGAGGGATTTCGTAGGGACGCTGGAGGCAGACCCGTGGGGCAGATCATATCGCCTGGTCATGGGGAAGCTAAGGCCATACTCTGCACCCCTGACGGAGGTGCTCGAACCGGACGTGCTGGACCGAGTGTTGGGGGGCCTCTTTCCCCAAGTGAAGCGGAACAGTGCTCAGGACGTGCGCGGGGTACAGGTGGATGGTGCGGCGGTAACGCCGGAAGAGGTGCTGGCTGCGGCGAAGAGGATAACCGGTGGGAAGGCTCCGGGACCGGATGGGGTCCCGGGCATGGTGATAAAAGCAGCGGCGGTGCACTGCGGGGTCGGTCTCGCGGAGCTCTTCACGGAGTGCTTTAGGACCAGCAACTTTCCAGCAGCCTGGAAGAGGGCTAGGCTGGTCCTGTTGAAGAAGAAGCAGGACGCCCAACCCGACCTGCCTGGCTCCTACAGACCGATCTGCCTGCTGGATGAGACTGGGAAATTATTTGAACGGATAATTGTGTCAAGAATAAGTGAGTGCCTGGAGACAAGGGGTCTGCTTTCACAGGCGCAGCATGRCTTTCGCGTTGGACGCTCAACGGTAGGTGCCATCATGGTGGTTAAAAATATAGTGCGGGAGTGCGTGGACAGTGAGCGCGTCGGGATCCTGACCGCGCTGGACATCAGCAATGCCTTCAACTCGCTACCGTGGGAGACCATCTTCAGGGCGTTGGACGAGAAGGGTCTTCCCACGTATATCGCGAACATTGTGAGGAGTTATTTGTCGGACCGGTCATTACTGTTTGTCGGGAGACGGGGACGATTAGAGGAAAGGCGGGTGTCGTGCGGGGTCCCGCAGGGCTCGGTGCTGGGACCAACCCTGTGGAGTATCGCCTATGACAGTGTCCTCCGGACTCCGATGCCGGGGGGTTCCCGGGTCGTTTGTTATGCAGACGATACGGCCCTCCTGTCAGTGGGGCGGGACCTGTCAGGGGCGATCGCGAACGCGGAGCGGGATCTCGAGGTGATCGTGAGTGCGATTGAGGAGCTTGGCCTCGAGGTGGCGCCGCACAAGACGGAGGCAATGGCCTTCCCTGCCTCTGCCCTCCGCAGACGCAGGAATGTTCCAGCCCCTGCCATTAGGGTTAGGGGGTCTCGGGTTAGTATAGAGCCCATACCAGAGTGAAGTACCTGGGCGTGGTACTGGATTCGGACTTTACCTTCAGGCCCCACTTCGCGGCCTTGATTCCTAAGGCGGAGGGGATCCTCCGGTCTCTTGGAAGGCTCCTTCCGAACCTTCACGGACCGGGGAGAAGAAGAGGCGCCTCTACGGCAGCGTGATCCAATCGGTGCTCCTTTATGGGGCACCGGTGTGGTGGCGCGCTGCCGCGGAGGACTCACGGGTCAAGCGGGCCATTCGATCGTTCCAGAGGAGGGTGGCGATCAGGGTGTGCTGCGCTTATAGAACGGTGTCGTTTCATGCGATGATGATGGTCGCGGGGATCATTCCCCTCGACCATCTTGCGCCCCAACTGGCGGAGGCGTATGCGGCCCTTAGGGACGCGGATGGACCTGTCCTTCCGAGTACWAAGGCGGCGCTGGGCGCTATTGCCAGGAGGAGGGCGATTGCTGCATGGAAGGAAGAGGAGTTGGGTTTAATTGGGGTAACGGGAGAAACGGGGAC